GGGTGTCAAAGCCATGTTCCAAGTTCTACTTTTTCCCCCTCAAAAATGTTTTATAAAGAGTGCCTCTCTACCCTATAGATGCAATATATATGAGATATAGTACCTTTCTGTTTCTAAAACCCAAATCGCCTTGTAACTTGTAATCCACCCTATAAAATAAATAAAATTTTTATTAATAAACTACTAACTGTTAAAATAAAGTAAATAAATAAAATTTTTATTAATAAATTACTAACTATCAAAATAAAGTAAATAAATAAATAAAACCAATATGCTCCTTTAAGCTCACCTGGTAATATTTTCAAGGCCATTATAGACCGGTGCCAAATTAAATCTGCCTCATTTGCCTTGAGCAATATTACACGACATCAATGAATTCGAAGTGACAATTCATCATATTTCTTCTTGTCCCGATAGTGCCGTTTCTGACCTTGTACCCTGTATCACTAGTTAAAGCGGTAGTATATGAAAACTTAGATATAGAGCTTCTTAAAAAACAACAACTTAGTCAAATATTTAAAGAAGAGCTAATTCACAAAAACCAAAAAAACAAACTAGAAAACAACAAAAAGCTAATTTTTTATACAGATGGATCACTTAAGAAATCAAAAAACTTAATAGAGAATGATCATATAGGAGTAGGATGGGTGCAAGTAGATAATAATGAGGAAAAAGTAATTGACGAAGGTACAATTGGTGCATGGAATTGGCCTTCATCAACAAAAGCAGAGTTGCTTGCAATCTGATATGTGCTGCTAATAACACCAAGAAAGAAAAAAATCAAGATTTATACTAACAGTGCAGTAGCAATAGCAGGCCTCAACAGAAGTAAAAAGTTAAAGTTAAGCAAATATTGGATTAAAGAAAAGAATTACAATCTTAAGAAAAGTATTCTAGAATTACTTAGTTTAAAAGAATTAGAGTTAGTTTTAGTTAAAATAAAAGGATATAATTGTAACAAATAGAATGATAGAGCAGATAAATTAGCAAAAGAGAGAAACAGAATAGATAAGTTTGATAAAATAATAGGCATCACCTTAAATTTAAATGTTTCACTCTACTGAAAGAACCTAGTGATCAAAAACTTAACAAGAAATTCATCAAGAATGTACTAGAACTTAAAGTCGAAGCAGAATGAAAGTTTATATCATCAATTCAAAAAATAAAACCAATCTTGAAAAAAGAAGAACATGATTAATCAACATTATAGCAAAGCATTAAGGGTCAAAGTGAAACAAAATATACAAGTATGAAGAGAAACCGAAAACTAGCAACACTAATTAAATATGTAAATAAAAAACTATCTGTACTCAAGACTCTGGCACAAAGATGATCAGATCTATACAAAAATACAACTTGTATACTATATAATAAAGACTACAAAGAAGATCAAAACCACCTAGCAACATGCAATGAACACAAAAAAGGGTGGAATAATATGGAAAATATGTTAATTGATCTGGCTTAGACAGTACTTGAAAAAGAAACCTAAAGAAAGACAAGTAAAGAAGAACTTAAAAAGTTTTTATGAGGTAATTTAAAAGAAAAAAGAGTAGTAAGCAGATCCAAAATCATCAAAGTCCTAATGTAAGAAAAAGTCAAAAAGTTAGTACAAGATATTATACAATCTCTAAAGGAAACCAAGAATTTTATAACTGTGTTCACAAATGCAGTATGGAATGAGTTTTTTGAAAATATATGAAAAAAACAATGTAATATTGTTGCTGACTGAAAAAAATTAATAGGGATTAAAACCACAATTAAAAAGAAGAAAAATAATAAAAAACAAAACCTCTCAAGCAAGAGAACATGAAAAGAAGAGAAGACTATAAATATAGATGAACAAAATTGAGTTATAAGAGAAGGAAAAGAGGAAAATAAGATTTAAATCCAGGAAACATGGTTTGATTCAGTTTTTAGTTTTGTAAATAGAAATATAAGACCCTTTTTTCAAGGTCTTATTAGCTAGCTTGGTATAGCCTCAGGCCAGAAATAACCACCTGACCTGTGCAGCAGACCACTTCTGGGCACTTATAGAAGTAGCTGAGAGATGTCGAACCAAAATTTAAGTCAACTTTGTACAACATGTATACAAGAATCTTAATAAAGGTGATCAGCAAGACTGCCTAAGTTATAAAAAAAAAAAAATTATATCATTGTCATTAAAGTAGTTGTTTTTATTTTTAGTTTTTGTTTTAATTTTTTGTTATTTATAAGTTTTAATTTTGTTTTTATTTTTTCATTTATTAGTTTTAATGTTATTGATTTTTTAATTTCATCTATATTGTTATTTGGTTGTGTTTTATACTATATTTATTGGTTTGTTTACAATTATATACATTTTGTAATACTTATATATTTATTTTGTTTATATTTGTATATGTTTGTTTGTTTATCTTTTCATAAGCTTATATGTTTTAAACAGATCTGTAATTCCAAGTTTATTGTTTTTGCAAGTTTTTGTATTTTGGTAATCAGCTAAAAAAATGTGCATGAAACATTGTGTTATCTAATTATTTAATTACTTAATTGTTTAATTATTTAAATATTTAGATACTTAGCTGTTTAATTATTTAGCTGTTTAATTATTTAGTTATTTAATATGTTTTTGCCTAGTGATTGAATAGAAGAAATTGGCATAAATTAAAATCTTTACATATGTAACTATTTATTAACCATTACTAAAACAATTTGCTTTGAAATATCTTACATTCAGAATTCAAATAACTGAATTTTAGACCTTAAGCAATAAAAATTGAATAAAACAAAATAAATAAATTTGACAGTATATGTTTGAATATTTTAGGTCAATTGACCAGTCCGATCCACTACCTAATGATAGTCATAATTTTTTTAAATTCTATCGAACTTTACATAATGAATCCACTCTCTAATAAACCTTTAACTAATTGATTATTAAGTTTGGTATAAGAACATAACAAAAATTTCATTTATAAGGAACGTGTTTTTTCTTTTTTATTCATTTGTTATTCATATTTCGACACCAAATAAAAGTAGCTTCACAAGAAAACACGATTACAACTCGCATTAAAGTGAAGTCCTCAGACTGGGAAAAAAAATCTTCACTATAACTTATATCGAAATATGTCCGGTTGGTTAAAATTGAATAATACCGATACCGTATCAAAAAAAAAAAATAAGTTACATATATGTATTCAACTTATGAGCATATTTGAGGACTCTACGTACGATCTTTTGTGATTCAGTTTTAATTACTGTATGTTTCAAACCTTAAACGCTGAATTTTTTGATATTACTATATTTTGATTTAGTATTACACAACTGACAAATCTGTTAAAAATAAAAACCAAATCAACTGGTTGCGAAACATCATCATAATTCGTTTCTGAGTTGGGACACGTAAGCGGGTTGAACCTCTAATTATGTATATAAATATTTAGGCATTACGTATAAACTTTTTAAAACCAACTATATAACACTAAATACATTTTTAATACGTACGTATACGCCTTGTTTCACTACACTTAGTATGATGAATTTCTATGTATAAAAAAAATGTCGATGGATTTCTATAAAAAAACTTTCAAGTTCGGCAATTTTTGAAGCGGCCGGGGATATAATAATGCGTTGTTCGTACTCGAAAAGATACCGAAGTCAGCCGACATCAATAAACATATGAATTCGGCCGAATGACCTAAATTTAAAACAAAAATAGAGGTAAATGTACAGTTACACATGTCAGGTGAACTTTATGTTTAAATTTTTAATTTTGTAACAAATATTGTAAGTATGAACTTAACAGGTTGGTGTTTTTTAAAAATATTTAAGTTTATAACTAATATTTGAAGAAAAGGGGTACGTTATTTAACTTTTTTAAGATTTTCAATACAAGGGGTTATTTGTTTTTTTTTCAGGACAGTACTGATATACCGATATTGGTAAATTTAGTATTCTATCCGAAGAGAACGATTGGTAGATTCAACCAACAACTTAATACGGAAAATACCGATAATGAACTTTATAGCGATAGGTACGTACATAAGTGTCACAAATGTTGTCGTACGCATTTAAACACTTTAATTGATGAACTTAGCTCTATTTATGCAGGGGATTTTTTTTTTAAAACAAATTTGAGACCATTCAAATCAGTTCTTTTACGAAAAATACGCATTTAAGATCAGGTAAAGAATACGTAGTATGATAATTTAAGAGGTTTACATAGATATACGTATTAAAAATGCAATATACGTAATATATTCTATTAATGACCGAATGTTTATCTTATGGATAAACCTACGTATAATATTATCGTTATACAATATTACGTGTTGATTAAATAATGAGGAATGATTTTTGTGCAACAGTTTTGTGTAACAGCACATACATCTATTTATTTCGACCAATAAAAAATCAAAAAATCAAAAAAATAGTATGATTTTATTGGTTAAAAAATTTTGATATACTTGATGTTACACGTTCCCTCTTAAATAATTTATAATTACTAATATTTCAAGGGTTATCTGTTTATAAAATAGTTATTAATCAATGATGTTGTGTTTTATTAGTCTTAATTAAAAAAAAAGAAAAATATTAATACAATCGATGTATTGTAACAATTTTAAGTTGATTGATAACACTCTATTAAGAGTGGCATTAGCATTTATTAAAAAAATAATAATAAAAAAAAAAAAAAGCGAAATAAATTTATTACTATGATTATATATTAATTATTTTTTATTTTATTTTATTTTATTTTATTTAGAATTTTTTTTGATTTTTTGATTTTATAACTTGCATTATAATATATGGAAAGTGGAAAGGTCATAATTAAAAAGAGATGAATGATTAATGGTGAATGGTGATAAGTGAGTGTCAAGAATATTTACATGTGAATAACTCATAAGAGTTTATCGGATCTTTGGACTATACAATATAATAGATTTAACAAAGTTCAAAAATGAATAAATGTGAATTGATAAAGATGTTTATCGGCGCCTTCACAAATTCATATGTGATTATTAATAAAGCACAGCTCTACAATAGGCGACAACAATATAGGTCATTACTGCAGTCAATATAAGAGCGTTCCAAATACACCGTCTACCCCATATTCTTGTCGTTTGATCTTTTCCAAATACGCTATAGACGGTTCCGATATACCAAAGTGGCCATAATAAAAAACCGAAAATATATAATTTTTTTGTAACCGGCCAAGGTTGTTGTGGTTCAATCGGTACCAGATCCCAAGGTGAATTAACATCAAATTTGGGATGTGGATATTGTGGTGGCATATCGATTTTGGCATGATCATATGATGGTAAGGAAGTTTGTGAATTGTTTAATGATGGAATAGTACTCGTTGAATTCAAAGATATGTGTGCAGAAATTGGTGGTGGTGTTATCTCGTTCTCTATGGAATAGGCTGGTGGTCTACTTGATGTTGATCTGATCGACCTAGAGTCTTCTGAATCATGTGCGGATAGAGTTATGTTTTGCGGTGAGAGGGAAGTGATATTTGGGTGACGTGCGTCTGGTAAAGTTACTGATTCATTTATTTCAGCGGGAATTTGTTGATTAATTAAAGTCATTATTTTGTTTTATATTAATATATAATTTTAAATATTTCTCGCGTTATGAATTAATAAAAAAAAAAAAAAAACAAAAAAAAAAAAAGATTGTTTCAAAATTTGTATGGTATAGGTAACAGAAAAATGGTTATTTATAAGTATTTTTAGTCGGAAACAGAAATCAGTTCATAAGTAAACAATCACCAATCTCAAAGGACAATGTGAATAATCAATGATCAATGCATTACTTATTATTATTTGTTTTAGTCTCGGTGCAAATACTAATTGAATATTTAGCTAGTTCGTGTAACATAAAACAATATCTATACTAACTAAATACTCACTAGATTAACAGTATATTATCGTAAACCTTATCATCAAAATTACCTATTATTTAAAATGGAAGAATATTATTGTTCTTTGGTTTCAACCAACGAAAATGGAATCATCATCAAGTAGTTACTTTGACCAAATTAGTCGAAATGGTAAAGCAAATATCGGTATATTGTCTATTATTAGCTCATCTGTACAACCTAAGCAATATTTATTACCTTCATGAACAATGTAAATTTACAAAGATGCAATCTTATTATTATTATTCTTCATCTATTATAGTTATATTTTTTAATTATTAACTATCCCTATGCGTTTCTTCATCGTAACAATCTTGCAATATTTAATGAAATAACCCATATATTGAGCATCAAATCCCATTTAGTGACTACAGTTTACCCAAATTATTGGTATTCACAATGACGAAAACGCATTAGTTAAAGTTATTATATATCATACCATAATTGTGTTATAAGGTTACTTTTCTTTTGCTAAATTGAATATTCGACTTAATTTCCTCAAGAACAATAGCATTTTCGTGATTATATGGTATTTGTTGATCTAAAGATCATTTATTTGTCCTTTCAGTTAATACCATATATATACATATCGATATCAAACGTTATTCTACGCATTTAATCAACTGCTTATTTCTTTACGCATAACATATAACACAATTTTATGGTGGTAGTGTAACGATTATTTTCTACTGTATTATTATATATTTTCTACTGAAATCTTCTACTTACGTGCATATAAACAACATTTTATAATTATTTGTAATGCATCCTTCACATGTCTTTAACAAACAACTAAAAATGTACTGTGATATTTCTAGCTTTTACTCTTTTCATTTCTCTTTCATAGATGAATTTCGTTCAATTTTAACATCTTAATTCCCTTTTGAAAATACGCAGATTTACTTTTGTAATTCTCATAAATAGTCAAATTATAAATGAAAGTTTTTTTTTTTTTTGATGATGATTATAGATTAACAAAATTTATACTACCGCTACGTAGTAAATTAATTAATTGATTTCATAACCCGGCTGGGTCAAACCGAGTGGGTTTTAAAAAAAAAAAATATTTATAAAAATTTTTGTATATAAAATTTTTTTTTTAAAAAAAGCCGGTCGGGTCTGTTTTGTTATGAAAACCAAGAAATTAAATTTGTGTGGCCTTAGTATATATAGTAAATATAGTAATATAGATGGGAGTGAAATTACTCTTCATAATAAAAGGTAATAAAAAGGTTTTGTTAAGATTGTTGAAATTGGTGAAATTTGTTTTTTAATATTAAAAAATAATTTAAATTATGTAAAAATTATTTAAAACTAAGCTAATTCAAATATAATATATAGTTAGTTTAATTTAGTTTATAGAAATATTAAAATGTTGAAATTATTGTTGAAATTAAAATAAATTTCACCCAACTAAAATAGTAAGATTAAAAGGTTATATAGAATTTACAAATAGATTTTAGGTATAACAATTAGTAAGTAATTTAATTAGGTATAACAATTATATAGTAAATATTTTAATTAGGTATAACAATTATATAGTAAATATTTTAATTAGGTATAACAATTATATAGTAAATATTTTATTTAGGTATAACAATTAGTAAGTAATTTAATTAGGTATAACAATTAGTAAGTAATTTAATTAGGTAAAACTTTGATAATTAAAATTTAAAACTATGTTAAAACTTATACGTATATACTGTATAACTTTTTAATTACTGTATATATTTATAAGTAATTTTCTAATCATACTGATGTACATTGTTGATGTAGTGTTAATAGATACATCTAGTAAAAAAAAAAAAAGCTAGATAAGAAAAAAAATTCATTACACTGATTTTCCAAGTATTAACCTTGGATCAGAAGAAGAAAGGTTATTAGCAGATACACCAAAGCATGTCTAGCATTCAAAATTTTAAATATCTAAAGCTTATTTAAACTTTAATAATTGAAATCTTAAATTTTTTTTAGTTTTAAATATTTTTATTTAAAAAAATTAAACCAATTTATCTTAATAAATATTTTTTTTTTTTTTTTTTTTTTGTTTTAAAGAGAGGTCTATTTTCTATTTCTTTTATTTATAGTCAATTGTACATATATAAAACAAATACATGTAAAAAAACTATACTATGGAAGATGAGAGTAAGAGCTACTTTACTCTTGACCTATTCTTTGTTAGAATGGTCATTAAACCTTTAGTCTTCAAGAAAATGTATTAGAGAAGTTAGTTCATTGTTTATATATCTTACTAGTTTTTTTTCTATAAAAGATGAAGTCAAAGGCTTAGTTTTGTTTAATATCAGAGCCTGTATTGGGGCAGAGGTTGGAAGAATTAAGTCATGACTTGTTTTTCTAGAAACAAGTTAAATTGTTTTGTATATTGCAGTAATAATGTTATAGTGTATTAGTAAAACATATTTATGCTTATGATTATTTGTGTCAAAAAGTGCTAATGTGTCTTTAGTAATAAGTCCTAATGGTATCTACTTAGTTATATATATAATAACAAATGATTTAACAAAAGTATCCAAGTGCAAGCATAATATTTTCAATTTTTATAAAGTTTTGTATACTATTTGTCTAATTAAAGTTAAAAACTATATGTGATTCTGAATGTATATTAATAAATGAACAATGTCCTTAGAGGCACTACAATGTCTTGGACACAAGTAGTTTGGATATTTTTTCCTATTTCTCCAATACAGTAATAGATAAGTTGGAAGTTCTTCAGATAGCAGTTTAATCTTAAAATTTTTGATTACTGAAGATGATGAGTCAGTGTTTAACACTAGTGGTTTTTTTTTATAAAAAATATATTTTAATATAGAAGCCTAATCAATATTGTTTTGTGATATGTGTCAGCCTGAAATCTGTTGTTAATAAAATCATGACAGCTAGTTTGTAATTTGATGTATATGTTTTAAAGTAGTTTTTAAAAGGTATCTACATGGTTTATTAAGAAGTCTTGAAACAAAGTGGTTATATAAAAAGCATTGCAATGTTAGGTCTAATAAAAAAATTATGCTTGTAGTTTCTTTAATTTTTATATCTTGATCTAGAATAATGTTGAGTTGCTAATTATATGAGAATGCTTTTAGAATTAGAAATAAGTATATATGTTGCTGTTTGTTTAGTGCAGAATAGTTGTGAGGTTTAATAGAAGTTACCAGATTGATATACATAGTAAAGGTAGGATTGTCTGTACAAATGTTTACTTTTATATATAAATTAATTGTAGTAAGGATAAAGTTTAGTAAATTAAGCATTATACTTATATGTGAAGACTATTGATTAATAAAATAATCAAAACAGATATTGGTGTTTTGTATATAGCATTTTGTTATTATTTTTATAAAGTAGATTTTTAGCATAGCATAGTATATTATATTATTAGTAGTTGTTATATATTTATTATTGTATTTTATA